AACACGATTTAAATCAATATAAATGTTTATATTGTAACGCATACTGTCCAGCCTCCATTTCTCTTTAAAAATTTACTCTATTACACACACACACAATAGAAGCAGGAAGCAGAAGCAGGGACCGTTGTCAGAGGGGAAGAAGGTGATTTGAACACATAACCTGTGGGTTGGTAATCAGGCACGTAGACCAGTGGGCTACGGACTGTGTTTGGAAGTGTTTTGTTTGTGTCCTTGTAGTCCTGTAAAACAACATGACCAATAGGAATTAGTTTCTTCCAGAAACAAACATTCTTAGTAAACAAAATACAAAGTTTGAGGGGCACACCACTTGAAAATATAGTTCTGTCAAGGGAACCTGGGAATTAGACTATTACAGATAAAGCAAGTACAGATTAGTCATTTTAGTAATTTTGAAAAATATAAACATTTTTTACTTATGTACAGAACATTTAATTTCTATGTAACTTAATGCATACCACTGCAGTATTAATCTCACTGAAAATTTAACATTCTGGGAAATTCTATGAGAATCACTAGTTGTCACTATCAGACTCACAGTATTGACTCCTCTATACAGTATTATAGCATGTTACAGTGCACATTCTGGTGTGTGAAGATAACAATATATTAAAGTCAGTCTGCAGAAAGGCTTACAGTATCTCTACCTGTAGGAATGAAGTGTTTTCAGCTCCCATCTACTGTTCTATGGTACTGATTGTGTCCGAAAGGCATGAAATCTTTCTTGTAATGCTCTCATTCTTCTTCATCATCTAACTTTTCTGCTCCTCTTTCTCTCTCAGTGTAGCTATCCTGGCTGACTCTTCTTCTCGTAGAAACTGGTGAAGTTTCTCAAACTCCAACTTTATCTGCCTTTGTATTTGCTGGGACTGACACTGAAATGGAAAATGTTGATAACTGGCTGACTTATTTGTGTGACCAGTCTGAGGCTCTTTTTGTGCCATGTGTTCTCTCTCGTACTTGAACGGCATTCAGCAGTATCTTTTAATATATCTTTTAACATAAGATAAGATCACTTTATTAGCCCTATACAATTTCTTGCATTAGGAATTCGTCTTTATGCATACCCCAGCTTGCGCTCCATGAGACACAGACACACAAACAGGGAGAGAAGTTTGGGGTCAGAGCGCAGGGTCAGCCATTGTACAGTGCCCCTGGAGCAGCTGGGGTTAAGGGCCTTGCTCATGGGCCCCAGTAGGATTTCTCTGCCGGCCATTGGATATGTACAGGCAACCTTCCAGCCACAGGCGCAGATCTTTAGCCACAGAGCCACCGCTCCAACCCTAATGAGCGGGTCTCCTCACAAATTACATTTTATTCAGTCTGTTTTATTTCGGCAACTGTGCAAATGCTTTTCTAGACTATTTTTGATTGGTAACAAGACTAATGTTTTTTTCTTTCTAAAATTATCTTGAAAATTTCAAATACAATTACCTTAATGTGATCTGGAGTTTGATCATGTGTCAATTTAACCTGATTAAAAGTTTCCAGTCTCCTCTGCAGTATCTTCAGATCACATGTTATCTCCTCCTGGAATGAGAAGATTCTTCATTGCAAAACCAGAGTGACACCAACAAAGAGAAATTTCCTGCTGATGGAGAATTCTCACCAAAGAGAGAATTCCTCAAGTTCAAGTGGTCCTGATAATCAGACAACTAAGGGGCAGGATAAACTAAAATACATCAATTTTGATAATTCATAGGACCATGGGTTATACTGGACTACTACATCAACATAAAAGATGATGATGTTTTACCAAAACATAAAACATATGCATCAAAAACCAGTGTCTCTGTCTCCAAATATCCATTTTTTTATTTTATTTTTTTGACAGCAACCTTTATGAAAAGTAACCAAAACACTACAGATACAGTACTTACCTGTAGGAAACAGAACCCATTTTCTTTTCAAGACCTGCATTAGAAACAAACCCTGCTATTCCCCAGCTTTCCAAAGAACCTGCAGCTATTGAGCCAGAGTAAGTACAGTGTTTTCATCATTAATACCCAGCAGAAATTAGATACATACAATAATCATGTTCAGCATTTCACATTATATTTTACAAATATTTAACATTTCTTCATCTTAAATCTGTGCTCAATGTCAGGGAAGACCAGGATTTCTGTTATTGGAGGACTTGTATGAATGGACTCTAATTACTCTGAATGTTAACAAATATTCACATAAAACTAATTTGGATTTTATTCGTTGAATAATATGTGATCTTTATTTGGATTAATTATTTGAATTCCTTACCTCAAAATACTGTCCAGCATCCTCCACTGCACATAGCTCATGGTTTTTGTGTTTTCTTGAAGTCTGACAAATAACACAGACAGGTTCTTTATCAAACAAACAGAAGAGCTTCAGTTTTACCCTGAGGAGACTGCAAAGCTCTTGAGACCCTGTTGGAGTTCTCTCACTCCTCTCCTGTAAGAAGGCCTTACACAGATTCTTTATAGCCTGGTTGAGGGGAGGCCGAGAAGGTATAGTCCTGCAGACTGGACATCCGTGAGAGTCTTTTTGTATCCAGTACTGTTCAAAACAGAATTTTAAGAAGCTGTGGTTACATGTCAGGGCAATAGGATCCAAGAAGACTCCTTGGCACACAGAACAAGAGATCTCTTCCAGAACAGGATGTTCTGCCATTCCTTCACAGCCTGACTTTCTTTTCTTCCAACTTTCCTTTACAACAGTATCTTCATGATTCTGCTTCACAAGTTCATTTATATCCACTTCAGTTTCTGTTGTTATAAGAGGTTAAACTGCCTTGTTTGAAAAGACTTTTGTCTCTGAAACTTAGAAACACTTTCCAAAAAGAACACAAATATATCCACAAGATTGTTGATTTACAAAAAATGATGACTTAAAAATTTCTGCAACACTTTTATTACAAAAAAAATATCTCAACAAGGAATCATCCAGTCTTACAACATTTCTGAATTTTCCAAACAAGGTATCATGTTCCTGGAAAGTCATAAAAGTGTTGTCAGTCATTTCAGCAATGAAAAATGAATAGCAGGCTGACATCTATTTTTTCTTTTTTCTTTTAGTTACCTTCTTAACTGCTGTGCACTAAAGCGATTTGTCTTTACACTATCTCAATCTTCAGAAAGATGTAAGAAACAACAGAACTTTTATTTTACTTCTTGTATTAAGTGGTGTATTTGGACAACTCGTTTGTGTTTTAGACTCACATCATGTAACGGTCAGCCTTAATCACCCTATGGATGTGAATGAAGGTTGTGGAGTTTTTTTCTTGTTTACACTACACTGTCAGTATTATCAATTTTCTTGCAGGTGTAGGTATTATTATTATTGTAGGTATTAGAATTATTAATTGTAGCACCATGTCACAAAAATGATTCTTCTGATGGCTATTAGAATCCAACCTTGCAGGATAACCCAAACAACGCGCACACACACAGGTACTAATACACAAAACACATTTATTAATACATAAAATGTGCATATAAACATAACAGATCTTATCGTGAGGGTTAGCAGAATACAACAGGTATACTGTATATTCAGTCATGAAGAGTTACAAATACCAAGAGGGACATATGTTAAGTATATCATTCATTTATACCGTTTCGTAAATGAACTTGGATTACAACTTCTACACTAGATACTCAAAAGCAAGTACATCACTCATAGGAATTAAATTGATATCAACTGGTTGGGATAACAATTGAATTCTCGAGCAGTAATGCAGAATGTTGAATACTCATCCAATCTGTGGGGATTCAGATCTCCTGCAGGCACAAAGAAGCAGTGGCAAGCTTGTTGCTGTCCAATCGGCGCTCTCTGGCTTGGTCCCAGGCAGTGCTCGGTGCGGCTTGCGACATGGTGGAGATTCTTGAGGCGATTCGCTGCTGATGCTCTCTGAAAACCAGCTAGTTAGTGTTGACTGAAACTACTGTAGCGAAGTTTGTGCACAGGAGAAAAGTGACTGCGGATCCCAGCAGATCAGGAAGAAGACCAGTTCGTTCCTGATGAAGCGCTAGTCTGCCCTTGGGAACTGTTCTGCCCTTGGGAACTGTTCTACAGGCGCTCTGTGTTGCCTGTTTTTCCTGGAAGAAATGCAGGTCGTTCATTGGTTGAAAGTTTCATGGGCATCAGAGACCCATGTGGGGTTAACCTGCCCTACCAGTTCCTGATTGGCTGATGATGAGTAACCATGCACTCTGACCTTAGGGTTGTAAACCAACTTTGAATAACACTTTCCCTTGGAATCTCAGACTTTAAGGCGCCAGAGATGAACATTTATTAAGGTTGCTGGAGAATCTCAGCATCTGGGGAGCTGGTCCTTATCAGGACACTCTATCAGCTAGAAAAACACCTTAATTGTGAACCAAATGGAATGGCCTCTCTGTGTCAAGCACCACTGAGATGAAAGAGAGAGGGACTGGCAAGGGTGCAGTAAACTTAATTCCTGTATTTTAATAAGCCTCGCCGCTACACAAGCTTTCTGTGTCTTTCAGATTGATTTAACTTTACTTAGTAATTACAGTAAGTGTCCTCATAACCATGGTCACATTGTATGTCTTGTTCATCCTTGTAGTGTGACAAGACCTTAGCTGTATGTACTTCATCTGAATGTATCGAATCATCACTTAATGAAGCCTTTTTAGCTGTGTTTGCCGATATACTTTCATTTTTATGCTCCAGATTTAAGAGGAGCCTAATTATTGGGGACTTTAATATACATATTGATTCAAGGTCTTTCAGTTTAGCTAAGGATTTTCTAGCTCTGTTGGTACAGTATGCTTTGATCGAACCCGGTTTGTTCATAGCTCAACACATACTGTAACAAAGGACACATCCTTGATTTATTTGATTGCAAATGACTCTTGGTTCTCACTTCTCTTCCCTTGAACTTAACTTTTCTGATCACTTAGCTGTTCTTTTCAATCTGGAATTACCTGTTTCTAACACTTCCTCCTCATGCTCCGCACGTTTTTGCAACTGACGAACAGTTGATCAGCCTAGATTCACATATTCTGTTCTATTCTCCTTATCTTTTTTCTCTAACTCTGATCCTCTAGAGCAGTGGTTCTCAAAGTTCTATGGTCCACAGACCACTTATACCAAGTCTCAGATGCGGTGGACCACCTATGCCTACGTCCACTTCTTACCCTGTACAAATCTTCACCTATTAATGTACTAAAAATAACTCATATTGAATTACATTTTATGAAAAGTACTATTATTTTTACAAACAAAGCTGCATATTTTGCAAACGTTTTTCTTGCTTAAAAAGTTCATGTGAAAAATGGAGCTGCTTTTGTTGAGCAATGAGAGAAGTGATATCTGGATCCAAGCTGGACAACTTTAGTCTCATGTTCAGCTCCACGTTCAGCCGATTTCTCTTGATTTCAGTCCAAAAAGTGTTGAAAATTCAAGCTCACAAGTGTATGTTGTTGGGAACGGTAATAGATTCTTCAGGGCTATGTCATTAAGTCCAGCATTCTCGGATCGTACATGGAGCAGAAAACCGATGATTTTTATATTTAAGCCCGAACTGTTTGTTTCATAAGGCAAAGCAGGAGAAAATGTAACCAAACAGACAACAGTGTATTACAAAGCAAAAAACATAATGCCAATCTCATTAGAGCAGATCAGGACACAATTCCAGCACAGTGAGATAAAAAACTTCATATTTAACACACAGCATTATAACCAACTGTTACAGATATCTTCACTGGGCAGATTTTTAGGAAACTAAAAAGGTCCTTGTCAGGAAGCTGATGTCTCTCACTAATGTATCTCACACTGGTTAGATCCTCAGACAGTGAGAGGTTGTGATCCAGAATCACAGGAGCTGTTGAAAAAAAAACTAGGAATAAAAAATAACCGGTCCAAAGAGAGTATTATACAAAATATATTTAAGTGATTTTTGTGCAACATATGCAACTGAGGAACAAGTTACAGAAAAATATAAAACTAATAAAAGTTATACTAGCAGCTGCTGTAAGCAGCAATGACTTTAGCAATTACACCAGCAGTCTTTTCACCCTGCAACACACATCTGGCAACCCAATGAAGCTAAGAAGGTGTGAGCCTGGCCAGTACCTAGATGGGAGACTTCCTGAGAAAAACTAAGGTTGCTGTTGGAAGAGGTGATAGTGGGGGCAGTAGGAATACAGGAAGTGAGAGGGGAAAAAAACACAAGGACACTCACGGTAGCATAAAAAAAAGTATATCCCATTTCTTGATGCAATAGGAGAGCAACTAAACAGTCAGCTCACTACAGATACCGTAACTAGAAGATCACCATGACAAACTAACCAAGTCTTATGGAGACACCACAATTCTTGATGTTCTTCCTGCACTGTGAAAAACTGTAAATCCCCCTCCCCTTTGTGACCACTGCCCCCCAGTACTCACTGTACTGAACAATCCCCAGCATCTTCTGGAGAGCCCAGGTGCTTGGCAACATCAATCAGTGCCCCTGAAACCCTCTCTGGATCCTGCAGTGTGTGCTGGGCTCTGCAATAATATTCAAGTGTCGGTACTGCTGTGGGTTTGGACTCGAACAACGGAGTGTCAGGGAGAGTTCTTTCCGGACCCTATGCAGACGACACAATCCAGGGTAGAGTGAGGAAACACTGGGAAAAAGGCATGCAGGGTACGGGAATGAAAACTGGGGGGGCGTGTTCATGGAGTGCTGGTGGTTGGGGGAGGTGTGGCTGATGCAACCAATCCATGAATGGAAAAATCAGAACCGGGTCAGGACCGGCAGGGGAAACAGAAACTAAAACCTCAACAGGGCCAGGCGTATCCAGGTCCCGGGCTCACATGATGCGGGAACCAATGCAGAGCCCGGAATAGCGTCAGTGTCTGGCTTTTAAGGGGGAACTGAAAAGGGGCTGGAACAGGGAGCAGGTGCAGGAGATAAAACAAACAAGGAAGGGCTGGAGCGCCCTTAAGAGGAGGGGTTGCAATCGTGACATTTAGGAAGAGAGGCTGGAGTTCACACACCTGCTTCTTGTGTATTTCTACATGTAGTTCTGAAAAATAATAGTGTGATTGTTTTTCTTAAATAGAAACTCACAACAAGTTCTGGAGGAGTTCTGAAGAGCACAATCAATAACCATACAGGTCTGTCATTACAATCGCATAGTGACAGTGACATAAGAAATAACAATGGAATGGAGAGCAGAATTTATACTGATGGGAAAACAGAAATGCAAGATTTTCAGGAATGAGAATACTATAGTTATAGCTAATGTGTATATATAGCTTAGATGTAAATACGGCTTTAAAAGTATTTCAATTCAGATATACAGAAAGCATTAGATTTATAAAATCGAAATAAGTTAAATATTAAAAAAACACAAATGGCAAATTCAAAGATACGCAAAGGCTTGATTGAATTGTTACGACCCCAGGTGTCTAGGTGTAACATTAAGGATGGGTTTGGAAGTGACATCAAAATTTTGGTGCAAAATGTATTTATTATTTATAAACAAAAGTATATACTGTACGTGACTGGTATGTATTTACAGAACTCAAAGAACACAGGGAAAAGGAACTTGAGCAGTGCCAAAAAAAAAGAAAATAATAAAACAAAATGATACTAGCTAATACAGTGAGGTCTAACCTAACTAACCCAAACACTGTACTTTCACAAAAAGTTGTCA